CGGCTGGCTTTCCCGGTGTCTCTGTGCACCGGCTCTGCCTGTGCCTGCCGAGCCCACACGGTGCTCCCTGCCCACACGGTGCTCCCTGCCCACACGGCGCTCCCTGGGGCACAGGGCTCCCTGGGGGCGGCTTCCTCTGGGCAGAGCTGCCAGAGCCTCGCGGAGTCTCCCATCATGTGCACGACTCTCCCTACAGGACCCGTTCCTCCAACTGGAATTCTTGGGTCACAAAACAAGGGGAGTCACCTGGCTGATGAGCACCCCGTTTCTGTCATTCCAGAACCTGCCTAGGCCGGCGTCCCCGCCGTTTGAGCTGCCCGCGTTGTACAGGACCGAGGACTACTTTCCTGCGGCCGCCGGGGAGGCGGCGCCCCAGGCCCCCCAGGCCCCCCGCTGCCGTGGCCACCTGTGAGCTGGCGGGAGTGGCCCTCTGCGTGCGGGGCAGCCCCGGTTTCTTCTATTTTTGTTGTCATCGATTTGTTTGCTGAATCCCCCTCCTCCCCCCGCTTCGCGTGAGACCGAGGGGTCTGGAGAAGCAGCTGGACCCTGCGTGGCGATGCCTCCGGGAGGAGCTGCTAAATTAGGCTTTGTCCGCCGGTGGTTGGTGGTCAGGTGTGCCCGAGGGACAGCGGGACTTGCTCTCTAGAGGGTTTTGCACGGGAATATGGGAGATTCACTGGGTGCACAGGGCTGTGGCTCCTGTCCCTCACTGTTGGCTGGCTTGTTGTGAGCCCAGTGCCCCCTGGCACGTGAATTATGTCAATAAAGGTGTCAAGAGGTCACGTGTGGTCTGGGCGTGGGAACGGGGTTGGACGGGTGACGGTTCCTGTAAGGCTGCTCCTGCCACCTGGGCGAGCCCGCCCCAAATCTCCGATGTGGCCCACTCGGCCCTCAGACCCCAGCAGCCCGCGGAGGTGCAGAGGTGTTGGGACTTCGTCTGCAAAGGTGTGTTTGCTCCCATTTCTTCTCATGCAGGTGAGTTTCCTGCAGTTACCCTGAAAGTCCACACTTTAGTCATGTTTCTCATTTTTCTAGAATTTCTCAGAGAGCCAAGGGAACACACACACACACACACACACACACACACGCAGACCTGCACTGGAATTTCAAGGAAATTTAACTTAATCAGGTAAGATAGCAGAAAAGGAAAAAGTTGAGACTTGCTAATTTTAGGGTAATTTTTGGAATTAAATGATAAAGGTGGACCCCTTGTTTCAAGAAGAGCTGATGTTTTTCTGTGGAGGCAGTTTTTGTAAACTTCTGTGATTTTTTTATTAAAAATGTTTGTAAGTTATGTTAAACTATGGAAGTCTAGCAGACATAGAGGAAGGTGCACCTTCGCACGTGCTTCACTGGGGTTTCACATCTGTTCCCCTCCCCCAGGTGGAGAAACAAGCAAGCTTGGTCCATGTCCCGGCCCCCCCCTCCCCCCCTCCCCGCTCCTCTTCTCCCC